TGGTCTAGAGGGGCGGGGTATAAATTTAATAAATAAATAAATAAATCTTGCCATAACCCACCCAGTAAAAAAACTCCAGCTGTAGATGGACCAACAGTTTGAATTTCCTTTGCCTTTTGAACAATGAGTTCCTACTACTTTTGCACAACTATTTCGCATTACTAACCGAACTGGAAGTGCAACAATACAGAGGATGACTCAGTCTTAAAAAGCGTTACATCAGCTAAGGCAGGCTATGAGTCAAAAATATTTACGTACTCCACAACTGAGCAACTGGATGATCTTGATGTTGTGATTTCACTAAAGAGATTTTTTAAAAAAAACCTAAGAATTGTATTCCCGAAATAGAGCTGAAGCCATTTAGAACAGGGGTGTTTAACATTGGGTAATCCAAGGGCTCCTTCGCCGCCGCCCCCGGACCTTAAAGGCAAGATTTTTAAAAACCTTAAGGATACCTAGAAATGCCATGTGAGTTTTGAACCACCTTGCAAGATGATGGAAGGGATTGACCAAGATACTTAACGAGGTACCAAAATCCACCTCTTTGGGGAATTATTTGGATCTTTTCAGTAGGCTTAAATACATTTCTAAATTATCTGGGACTCTATGACATCTAAAGACCTCTTTTGACCCTTCGGACCTGTCTGAATATTGCAACAAGGCATACGTCTGCGTCCCTCACTTTCGTAGAAGCAATAGGGCATCTATGAATGAAATAGGGCCTCGTCAGTGGTGGCACCTCAGAACCCCAGCTTTCTTCCCTTGTATACAAACCTGCTAATTCTAATGGCATTTTGGCAGTGGATAAAAATGGTCTTCAATTATTGTTAACGTTGAAATGGCTGCAGTGGCTCCCATTATTTTATTATTGCTTTTAATTTTACTGCACATTGCTCTCCTACTGTTGTTTTCTTGTAACTGTATCATGGCATTTTCAGTGACATTGCAAATCACCTTGAGAAAATTTATGTGAAAATGCAGGACAGTTGTGTCCAAATAAATAAATAAATACTGTGGGTATTGTGTATGCAGAGGACTGGGTGATTCTACATCCGTCAACTGGAATAGTCTTATAGCCACACCCTTAAGTTCATCATTCTGTGACATGCACATTGACTGTTTAATTATAAGTATGAAAAATGTTATCCTCCATTGATCATCTAAGGGGGGAAATGTGTAAGAAGACTGCATAAAGACCTATCTTCTCTGAGGCAGAAAGGTGTGGTAAAACTGAAAAGTGATAGAACATCTTAAGAAAAGCCATCCAACGCACTTGTACATTTCATGAATGAATGCTTTATAAGTGCTTCTAAATGAATTTCTGAAAGGGGAAAAAAAAGAACAATGAAAATGAATTCTGACAGGTGATACAGGATCAAAAGTAAAAGCAAACCTTTGTACCTTTATCACGAGATTTCTCTTTTATTTCAGAAATGTTTGAAGTTTTTCTCTTTTTTTCTTTCTTTCTTTTTTTTTAACACACCGATAGACAGCCGGGCTGCTTCCTTGTAGAGCTGTATAAATCTGGTGTTTTTCACATGGCGGATCTGTGTGAAAACACCCAATTTAGGAAATTAATTTTATAATCAGATGAGAGTTGAAAGATTTGTTTTATGTTATACCCTGAACATAAGAAGGAGCACATTTTGCCAACTTTTTAAATTTTGGAACATCCCACGTAATTTAAGGAGTTCTCATCTGTTGCTTCTGCCTTTTTTTCCCTCCCTTAAAAAAATAAGAAATTAAGTGCTTATGGACCAATCCCTCATATATTTACAACATGCATTCTGTCTTTTATCTTATTGCAGCTGCAACATGTCTTATGTTACAACTCTTGCCGTTTAAAGGAAATAGTTCTCTTGTAACACTAGACATTTATTTTTAAAAATTACAGCTCAATGTATTCTTCAAATAAAAAATATATGGTGGTTGGAAAGGAAGTGACATTGCTGAGTTTTGACTCAAAGGTATCTTTTTTGTGCATTTTGTGGGATTTTTGTGGTCTTTCAGCGTGGGGCATCATACTGGGAAGTACAATAACCACTTCTGATCCTTCTGATAGTGGCAGTGCCATGGTGTCATTGCTTACGTTCTGCACATATTCCTTTTTGATGCATATACATGACAAATAAATGCTCATCTTCATACCAGAAATCACCTTTCGGAACACACAGTTTGTCTGAGAGTCAAGAACCACGTAGAGCTGCCTCAGTCACCACCAAAGTGCTGTTTTTTTTATCATCTAAACTACATGGAGGGATACACTTTTGAGTCTCCTGGGATTAATTCTTGGGTTTGTCATGAACTGCTCTGTAGCACTGGCTAGAACTCTTGACATGTGTAGAACAGTGTTCTTACATGGCAGAAGAGCACGGGGATCTATCAAATCCAGCTGCAGACTGGGTGCGGGAAAGATCATGGTACCGTAGACAGATTGAAATTGTGTTCTTATGTCTGCAAAAGCAGATCTTCCGTGCTTGGGCACACATTTTAATCTTACTTTTCTGCTTCCCTCTCCTCCCCAGTCCATAATCTTCATTCGGGACCGAAATGCCCGCGGTCAGGAGGTATCTGCTTATATTGACTATGCACATCGGTTGAAGGTGGAGGAATTTGAGATCTATTTCAATGGAAAGAAGAAGCTTTTCCCCAGGCGCACTGATCTGAGGTGACTGTTCATTACTGTCTGTTTATGAAACATAGGTAATTAGTATACAGTCTTTCACTAACATATATGGAGTTAGTAAATATCCTGAACGATTAATATTCTTAAACTTGTTTGGGGATCCTTATTTTTCCATTTGGAACTATGCATGCTCATTGTCCCCCTCTAGGAGCTAAATATACCTTTTGAAACCTATAGGTTTTTGTTTAGAGGCACTGTTCAGATGACTCACATGTTTAACCTCAGATTCTGGTGGTTTTGAGCCCAGAGATCAGTACTTAGGGGCTCCACCCTGCACCTCCAGAGAATTTGATAGGGAGATAACTTATATAGGGACAAACAATCTTGTAAATCCTTGGGTCCAACCTCGAGACTATAAGGGTGAAAAACAGTCCTTTTTTACCTGGGTCAGAAACTAACTTCAGCAAGTGTAGCTGGAAATTTATAGAAATAATATACTCATTAACATAGCTGATGCCGTTGCATGAGAATTGGAACAGTCCGAGAGATTACAGGCCTTGTTCGTATATGTATGTCTAGCATTTCGAGACTGAAGGATGCCTACACACACACATTAACATAGCTGATGCCGTGGCATGAGAATTGGAACAGTCCGAGAGATTACAGGCCTTGTTCGTATATGTATGTCTAGCATTTAACTTCTCATCACTTAACTGCTCATTGTTTGGAGCCTTGCATGTACAAAAAGCAAATTGGAGACTATTGTGTTTGATAGCTGGCGTAGTGATATACAATGTTTTATCTGTGGTGGCTGTTGCACTGCACTAGCCGTTGCCACCATGTCATCAAGTCATGACCATCCCTCAAAATGTGTAATTTTGTCCTTACTTGGAGTCATCACAAAGAGGCTGGCACTTAGTTGTCTTGTCACCTTGGATCCAACCGTGCTGGATCCCCCTTTTGGTTCGGCGTTGCTTTTTGTAGGAAAAAAACTGTAACCCTCTTTCTCCTTCCATTCCTTTAGCTGGAATCGCTGAAGGCATTTAACAAACAACTTATCTTCCTAACTTGTGTCTTAGCAGCTAACGGTAGAGCATAACATGACAACTCCCTCTTTCTTTTTCTTTTTGCATTCTCCCTTAATTGCTTCTGATTGTTGTATCAAGATTAAAGAGAAATCCGGTACAGACCTTTAACATCCCTGCAGTGTTCTCCTAAAATTGGAAGGTGTTCACTTTCACATCTTGTTCGCCAAGCGCTTGCCTAGACTCATTTCTCATTATTTTGTCAGTAGTGTCATTTTCGACATATTAATGTGGGCTGATACACATAGGCATACACACACTTTTATCACTTGGCAATAGGGTTGAAACCGTAAGCTTACTGTTCCAGTAAATTTACCAAGCGATAGTCATGGCTATGTTAATTACTTATTCCTCAGTGTCTCAACTCCCAGGTCTTAATTGTGATGCTGCTTCCCCAAGAATAATTAACTGTCAGCCAGGTGTCAGGCTCCAATTAAGTCTAACAGCAGCTAGTGCATCACTGTAAAAGTTTGGGTGGGGTGAAGAGGAAATTCTGGGACTTCCCTGTAGATACCAGTTACTTCCCCAAAGACCTCTCTACTCGGGTACTTTTCTCCCTTCTGGACACACTTTCAGTCTTCAATCATGGCTGCAAAGTAATGTGGCTACCATGGGGAGTGAAAAAGATAATTTGGCATTCCTTTTGCTGTTCGAGGAAGCCTCCTACTCTCCCACACATTTCAATCAGTCTACTTTGAACCTCAGAAAACTCAAGAATCACTCCATATGATAATATCCTGGGTTTAAGCTGGATTCAGACAGGGTGTGAGGGATTATTCTCAAGTGGTCATATTGACCAGATAGGCGGGATATAAATAGAATAAATAAATAAACTTCTCTAGAAGAAACAGCAGGAAGGAGGAAAGATTAACAATCTGTGCATTATTCAGCATTTTGTGGTGCATGATAATTATTTTGTTTTTAAAAAAGACTGTAGTTTAATTCTCATTACTTGATTTTGGAAAGAGAGCCATTTCAAAATATTGAGAGTGAATTCAACAAAATCCTAACAAGAATGCATCAGGAAATATGGAAAGCAAAACAATGCCCACAGATAGGAAATATTCAGTGTACATTCAAGTCTCTAGGAAAGGAGACTCCAAAGATTGTTGTAACTATACAATGGCATTAATTTTCCATGCAGGCAAAGTGATGCTCAAGCATTTACAACAAAGACTTTCACTGTATATGGGGAAAGAAATGCCACTTGTTCCTTTTCTGGATTCTGAATTCAGAAAGGGAAGAGGGATTAGAGGTCATATTGCAAGTATACATGGGCAGGTAGAACATATAGGAGAATTTCAAAAGAAAATGAGTTTGAGCTGTACAGAGAATAGTAAAGCCTTTAACTATGCTAATAGTAGAAGCTTTTGGAGCTTGTTAATTCATAGGGTCACCTTAAATTGAAAGTAACTTGACAATAGATAACAATAGCACTCTGTTTTGGATGGGAGTCATTGAATCAATAAATAAGGGGATATATATGTGCATATCATATTACTAAGGCTCTCATCCTGTTAAGGATCAGTTTAGATATTATTGGCTGAAATCAGTATCAATTCACAACTGAAGTAGGCCCATGGAATCAGTGTCCACAACAAATGCACCTGTGAAGGTGGTGGGGCCAAGAGAAAGGCCTCTCCTGGTAATCTTGACACTCAAGCAGGCTTTATAGGTTAGAACCAACACCTTGAATTTAGCCTGGAAATGGATCGGCAGCCAGTAAAACTGCTGTAACATGGAGTTATATAAGCCCACAGCCCTTTTTTTGGCTTGTAAATGAACCTCAGAAATGTTCTTACTCTGATCTACAGTACTTGGTGCTGTGTTTTAACAATTGTTTTATTTGATGTTGTTAGTGTTAAGATTATACTGCTGCTGTCTCAATAATCTTGAATTTCAGTGTAATATGTTGCATTACTGGCCATGTGTTAAGCCACACTGGTAGGGTAAAACCCCTAATAGGGAGATTCAGAAATTGATTAAATAAGTAGAGAAATAAATCCCAAAAGCTTAAAGCTGTTTAAAATACTCATTTTGTAAACAGTTTGACAATTATACTTAAAACATGGTGCTGGAGGAGACTCTCGAGAGTCCCCTGGACTGCATAGAGAACAGACCTATCCATTCTGAAAGAAATCAACCCTGAGTGCTCACTGAAAGGACAGGTCCTGAAGCTGAGGCTCCAATCCTTTGGCCATCTCATGAGAAGAGAAGCCTCCCTGGAAAAGTCCCTGATGTTAGGAAAGTGTGAGGGCAAGAGGAGAAGGGGGATGACAGAGGACAAGATGGTTGGACAGTGTCACCGAAGCAACCAAATTGAATCTGACCCAACTCCGGGAGGCAGTCGGTGACAGGAGGGCCTGGCGTGCTCTGGTCCATGGGGTCACGAAGAGTCAGACACGACTTTATGACTGAACAGCAACAAATACATTCCCTCCCACCCCCCTCAGCGAGCTGGGTACTCAATTTGCTGAACTTGGAAGGATGGGAGGATAAGTCAACCTTGAACCAGCTACGTGAGTCCATCAAGATCAAACTCAGGTTGTGAGCAGAGTTTTTAACTTCACCGCTGCAGTTTAACCCCTGTGCCACAAGGCTCAAGACATAAAAATGAATTAATGAATATTTTTATATTTTATTTATTCAAAATTGTACCAGATTTTCAGTCAAAGCAATGGAAACTAAGCAGTAACTTCACAGTGGGATATCTTCAAATGTCCACGAAAGAAAGAAAGAAAGAAAGAAAGTCTTCCTTGGATAATGAGTAAAATGGTGACAAAATCTGGGAGACTCTTTGTTTACACACAAGATGTATCTGTATTAGTTTTTTAATATCCACATTAATCAGCTGTGGAGCAAAAAGCCTTTTAGCAAGTGTTATATACCGAATCCTTGACAATCAGCTTTGAACCATGTAACCTGTGGCTATTTTTCAATATTTGACTCTGTTGGCTTACAATACTTGGCACCACTGCATAATTTTAGACCGTTCTGGTGTTTGTGGTTTTCAAATGTGGTGTTTCAACCATCCGGAGCCCGCCCTTTCCACTTCCTGCCATTGCCACATGCATCGGTAAACAGAAGCTTTTGCACTTAGCCAAACTTTTATTTTCATTCCCCCTGGGTAAAATTAATTCCGATAAGTAGCCTTTCTTCCCAATGAGTATTGGGCAGAAACAAATACGGACTTCATGAGGTTTTGCCTGTGAGCAAACCACACAAACAGACAAAAGCACAGGTGCAAAGTCAGTTTATTTACTACGGGACTGCTGTTTATTCCCGTATGGTTTCAGGATATTTTCGATACATACGAACTAGTGCGTGTCTGATCCAAATTATCACTGCTAAATTCTAAATTAAGAACACTTGCTAAGACTTTATGGGCAGCGTTATGAAGAGTTGATGCAGCTCAGAGGGTCCAAACATGAAGCACAAGTGGGCTCTTCCATCGGCACCAGGCAATGAATGATGTATGTTAGAGATGGTAGCTTACTACATACCCCTGTGCTGTGTTGAATACTGCCCTAGAGAGGCCCCCAACACCCATAAGCTGATGGGGAGGGGTAGCTGTGGAAGGAAATGGAACCCTGAATATTTCCAGTGTTTGCCTGTCTTTGCAATCCGCATTCCTTCCCAATACATATCCTGTGTGCACCTTTGATAGCGAATCCCCCTTTTTTCTGGTTCTGTAGGATGCATGTTGTTGTTGTTGTTGTTTTAAAAAAAATCTCATTCCCAAATATATGAAGCCATGACAATGTGCCCCGTCGTCCTTTGTTCATGTTTTCTCTAGGCGGAAAAATATCTGAAAGCAGCTTTTCTGTACGATGACCTCCTAAATCGTTCACCCATCCTTTTAGCTGTCCCCAAATTTCTCCAGCATCTTTCTGAAATGTTCCAGGTCACCCCTCCCTTGCTGAACATTGAAGGCAGAACAGTCATTGGCCCTGGCAA